TTATTTTATTATATAAAGAGAAGGAACCAATTGATTATAAGATGAATTGTTTATGTTATGTTTAATAAAATTAAGCGATAGATAACTCAAATTACAAAGACAAATAACTATTGATGATAAAATGGTTTCTTTTGTTGTTTATGATATACTATATGATGATGAATTAGTAACATAAAAAATGGTGAAAATTTTGAAGTTGAAGATAAATTAATGGTCTTTAATAATGAGGATGAATATATTAATTCTAATATATAAAAGGCTACTGAATTTAGAGCATCTTCTATTTCACATTCATTTAAAAAAAGTTGCAAATTGGGGTTGGAGCTTAATAAATCCAAAAGGTAATTTAAGTATAATGAATTATTTTGTTGTGTTATTAATTTATTATTTTACTTAAATTACATTAAACCCAGTTGTAACTAATGTAGGGAGTAAAAGGAAAATATGTTGTAATTCAAGAAGATTTTGAAGATAACAGTATGACAGAATTCGAGGATGATAAAATTATTATATATAAGGTATCGTATGAAGAATATGAAAGTTAGGGTGAGGCTGCTGTGGATCCTAATTCTTGTGGCATATTTAAGTTTTAAGTGAATGTTTATCTTGAATCTCCTTTCAAACTTTCATTTTATACTAAAATTAAATATTGAGAATTGTGGTTTATATTCGTATGATTATGAATTAATTAAATATGTTGATATTTCTTTTATTTTCATTTTTGTTATTTTTATGAATTATTTGTAAATTTGTGGGTTATTTTATTTTATTTTGAGTCTTATACCTTGATCTCCCTCAAGGTTGACGCTTCGCCTTTCTAAGGCATTCTGCCTTGATTTTCGTTGTTGTCTTTTTGAAAACTTGGGCGTTATTACAAGGATTTTTCAACTATTTGAGATTTGTCAAAGATGATTAGTATTAGGATGTCGAGAGTCGGGCCTCGATGTTGTTTATCAGTCTCTGAGAGAGGAGATGACAATACTTTCATTGTCAAAGATAAATGAAAATGAGAATATTCAATGAATGGGTATTAAGTGCGGATGTTAATTTGGTGCGTGGATAGGAAATAAGAATTTTTTTTTTAAATCCAGCCAAATACAAGAAATTATATTAAAAAAAAATTCATAAAATATTTAAGATGCACGTGTCGGACACGTTTGTCCAATTTGTATTTAATATTTTTTAATTGGACACGTTTTCAGCGTGTCTGACATGTGTCGGGCATTGCACGCCTCTTTGAGGAGAAGTGTCGATGCATCATAGGTAGACATGCATAGGGTTAGAGGTTGGTTCCGTGAACTTATGCAGGAAGAGAAATAAGCGTTGAAGGTGTCTCAATGTAAAGGAAGTATAAAACAAATGTGTAGTCTCATGAAAGTTTTCATCGATTGAAGTTTATAGTCGTCAAGTAAAGTGATCATGACATTGATAAACTTTATGAGTGTGAAAATGCCCAAGAAAGATACTTCAAAAGCTAAATGCCCATGATGTGAAGGGAAAGTTAACTTAAACTGAATAATGAGTGGAAATGAGCAAGATATTATAGAGAAGGAGAGGGGATATGGGACATTCGTATTAAACTTCAAAGTCCTTGTAGCATAACAAATAATTTGATTTTTGTCATTTAACATCTTTCAATTCAGATGTATTGAGACAAAAGTTTAATGATAATACCATTGATAGAGTAAGTGTGAAGTTGAGATACATAATTCCTTAAGAATTATTTACACACAAAATTTGATTAAAGTGGAAAATTGAATTTTTGTTATGTTGTTAGAATTTTAAAATACATGAAGCTCATCTAAGTGATATTTGAGCTAATAAACCTAGCAACCCATGAAAAATCATCAATGAATGTGACAAAAGAGTGGAATCCTATGTGACTAAAGAGAGAGCTAGAGCCCAATTCTATGAGCAAACTAACTCAAAAGGAAAGAGGATGACGACTAGTCGTAGAAGTTAGAAAAGACATGCGGTGGTATTTATCCATTGTATAGGGCACATTAGACTATTAGTCATATCTGGATAAAGGTAAAGCAATAATGACAACATCTTGAAGCCTGTTAGGTAGAGGATGCCGTAACCAGCAATACAAGTGAAAGAATTAACATTGAAGAAGAGGGTGATAGGAGCATTGTGTTCGTAGTAGATTCAACCAAATTCAACATCTCCACCAAACATCTCTTTGAGTTCAGATTTTGAAACACACTACGAGGGACAAAATATTACCAAGCATGTTTAAATCTTTGTAATACCGTGAATATAAAATAAATTGGTAGAAAATTGTGGCATGTAAAATATTTAAGAGATAGTATTTGAAGGATGCACAATACCCCTTTTAAGTGTCGAGAGGGGGAGACCACTAATGACAATAACACAAGGGAGGGAGGTTATGTGGAGAGATGCAAGAGTTTGAGGCTCTTGTCATTTGGGTCGAGGAACTTGAATCTACAAACGTAGATATATTAGTAGAGATAGTTGCATCAGATCCACAGTAGACAACATATGACACTGAGAGAGATGATTGCGACTGTTGAAGCACTTTTTTCTTCTTGAGAGAAACCAATCTAGAGGATGATGCACCTGGAGTAGACAGGGCATAATCAACTATAGAAATATGTCGAGCAGTTGTTGGTTATTAAATTTCTCATTTTATCATTTTGGAGGATGGTTTGTGTAGTTGCAATAGAGAAATATATTCTTGTCATAATCAAGTTCATGACTAGAGCATCTACCACAACTACGTTTCCCTAGCTAATGGTTAGGAGTGGGAGATAAAGAGGAGAGCTTTGTAAAGTACAAAACTTGTGAAAGAGTTGCAATATTAGGGGCCATAGATTCTGCCATCAAATTTGATCTTACACCTTATGTAGGAGAATGCAAGTTCAAGATAAATTTGGCAGAAGCAATTCTTTATTATGTTAATGTAAAATTGTAGGATCAATAGTGTAGTGGTAGAGAATTAAATCATCCCACTTCTTAGTATAAGACTTGGATCTACTTGTTTTGTTTAAGAGATGATAATTTTGAGCAGAAAGTGTTGATATATGATATATTATTTTCCTAAAATTATACGGATCAAAGAAATTCCATCATCTTTTTGGTGAAATTTTGAAGGATAACAGTTGGGGCAATAGACAATTCAAGACTATTAACTAATCGGACAAGAACAAATATAGTTAGACACTTGTACTTCGATAATTTGATGGTGGCATCATTATTTGGAGTAGAGGCATCAGGATGACGACATTTGTTATGAGAGCAAAAAGGGAAGCAGGATGTCCTTGACCACAGGAGATAATTGGTTACATTGAAATTTATATCTTAACATGTTGAGGGTTTAGCTCATTGAAATTGAAATAAAAAGCTATGACACTTTCTGGATTGAGCGGGAGAGGGAAATTTAGATCTTAGAAACTTGGAGTTATCATATCAAAGCCGTAATGCTGTTTGCTGTTAGGGGGCGTGCAGCTAGATTTGGACATGCCAACGAGCTAGGAAACGGGCACACAAGCACAGATAAAGAGCTGTTGCCGTTGTGATTGTAGGCAATCAAATACATGGGTGAGTAGGCATGAATTGAAAGTGTAGTATGCTTAGGAGCAGGTGCATCGAGGGATGCATGCCTTTGCACAACTGGTCGAGGTAACCTTACTTCAAGATAATGTTAGTGAAATATTTAGTTGTTGTGTGATTGGGCGAACGTGGAAACCCATACATAAGCATACGACAGATGTAAAAAGTAAACTAATATAGAGAAGAATATATTATACGCCAACAACATCCGTACTTGTTTTTAACCAGTATGTTTTGCACTTGCACTATATTTGCAACAAAAAAAAATCACATGTCTTGCTTAGAGGATGGACTTAGGGTAATGGTTAGGTTGACTCAATCGTAACTTGGAGGTCATGTATTTGAACCTCAGAAACCATTACTTTGCAATGAAATGTAAGCCATGCATCCTTCCCCTTGAACCAATATTTCCTCAAGCCTCATGTGCATTGTATATATGCTAGCGGCATTTTGATCCAAAAGATGGTACTTAGCAAAGTTAATAGATTAGACTTAAATGTAACATACCATAACCTGAAGATCGTGCTATGTACTTTTTAAAACTTGTGGGGATAATTATTATATTGAACAATCTTTAGGAGGTCTCTATTTAACATATATATGCACAACTAGTTGATGTAACCTTATTTCGATGCAATGTTAGTGAAATATCTATTTGTTGTGTCTTGGCCGAATGTGGAAGCCCATATATAAGCATATGACAGATGCAAAATGTAAACTAATATAGAGAAGAATAACCTCAATTATGAGGGCATAAAATCATCCAGCTAATATAATGCTTTTCAATAGTAGAGCCTTTTATTATTATACCCCAATAGCATTCTTAGTTGTTTTTAATCAGTATGTTTCACACTTGCACTATATTTGTAAAAAAAATAAAATCAGTTTGACATGTTTAGGGGATGGACTTAGGGAAATGGTTAGGTTGTCTCGAGCGTAACTTTGAAGTCATGTATTTGAACCTCAGAAATCGTCCCTTTTCAATGAATGGTAAGGCATGAATCCTTCCCCTTAACCAGTATTTTCTAGAGTCTCATGTGCAGTGTTTGCCATCGTTTTTTCATGCAGTTGGAAATTTGATTATTCCATACTTGAAAAGTTTTCATTACTGATTGAAGGATTTGGTTTTTTTCATGATTAGTAAATTTCCGGTATTGATTTATGTAATGCAGGTTCATTTTGCATGACGTGCAATACTTTTTTATTGTAATAGATTACTTGTAGTTTATGCATGGTATATGTTATATAATGTGGTATAATTTTGGTACCTACTGCATATATTTCTTCGTATACTGATGAGATTCTATTTCTTTTCATCTTAATTATGCTTTTATGTGGTACAACTTGTGTTCCTAAGACTGAACTTTTTTGCGTGCTGTAAGTTTGTTGCTCAAGTAAGTTGATTGTTTACTTCTCTGTTTCAGCTAAGCAGAACTATTAGTGAACCAAATAATGCAGGAGTTATTGGTGATAGAGGGTCATTTTCAAGAGAAAGTGAGTTATGCTTTTGAGTTTTACCTATTGTGATTGCTTTCTATGCTCTAGCTTTTAACAAGAAAAACACTTGAAGACATGGTTTTTGTTTATCTCATCAGTTTCTTAGTTTACAATCTCATAATTCTGCTTCTTGTGGAATTGTTTCCCATCTACACATTTTTAAACACGCTCCAGAGAAATTGCCTGGAGGTAACTCAAATAAAGGTTTATGCTGTAAGTAAATTATTAAGCATATGAATGAAATTTTAAGATGCAACTTATTAGCAATTGATCATTATGGGTTTTGGATCATCTATTGCTCAGCTCAGCAAGGGAAAAATCATTTTCCATTTGGGTGATATTGATGGTTTTGCATAGATGAATTGCATGAATTCTTTGAGATAATGTGAGCTTTGTTTACTCGTTTAAAATCAGTATATATTCTCGTTTTGGATAGAATAAGCGTAATCCCATGAGATAATTATATGGAATACTTGGCTTTTAGTGTAAGTATTATGCTATGTAATGTATAATTTTACAGCTCTTCATGAGTGTCCAGGATGAAAGTTATGATTAAGTCTGCCGGTTTCCTCCCAATCAATAAGTTTGATGAAATTTTTTCAATTTTCATGTTTTGATAATAGTAACATGTGGCCTATCCTTTTAATTTTCGATGAAGTTCAACCTTTTTTTCGTGGAAAATGATCTAGCCAGTATTGAAATGCTCTTTGAAATGCCTTTAACACCGTGCAAGATTTTGCATGCTATAGGCCTTTTGATCCAAAAGATGTACTTAACACTGTTAACAGACTGGATTAAAATGTGACATTCCATAACCTGATGGCTGTGCTATGAACTTTTTAAAACTTGTGGAGATAATTGTCATATCGAACAATCCTTAGGAGGTCTCTATTTGACATATACGCATTGTATATATTTTCATAAGAGTTTGCTGAACTGCATTTTTTAATATAATTAGAAATGGTAGCATTTGCTCTACAATATTAGCTATTAGAAAAATGTTAATTCTGAAAGCTATTTCGAAATTATTTTAACAAGGCATTGGTAGTTCGTCATTCATTTAAATTAGTTTCCTACAAAAGTCGGATTTTCTCCCCACCCATTATCCATCTTCATTTGAATTGTAGTTCTATGTTTGCCAAAGATGGGCTGTGGTTTCCCTTCGTTAATTTTGACCTATAGCAGCTCTTTTTCTTCAAAATTGTCAAATTTTATTTTCAAAGGAGTTTTAGTGGGGCTTTCAATTCCTAATAAAGAAACTATTTTGTACATACTAATAGTTTCTCGAAAATAAACTATTTTTAGCCTAAAATACGTAGTTTATTGATTTTATTATCTGTCAATTTTTTCCAATATTGTCAAGTTTTTTGTCATATGAAATTTTATTTGTTTTGTTTTAATTCTTCGTAGGAGTTTGCTTTCGAATTTTTATGTTATATGGTCTTTCAAGTTCAAGTTTAAATTAGCTGAAAATATTTTGCTGCTCTTAGGTTCTTCCACTGTGGACTGGACACAGGAACCAGATTTTTCCAACTGGTCGGATCAGCAAATATTAGATGCTGAAAGTGTTCAAGAAGGCAAAAGATGGTGGTCACAGCCACATTCATCTCCAGTTCGACATTTTGAATCAAGGCCATTGTACAGAACATCCTCATATCCTGAGCAACCACTTCAGCAACAGCATACTACTGCTCCTATTCTACCCAAGTCATCCTACACATCATCATTGTACAGAGCATCCTCGTACCCTGAGCAACCATTAGAGCAACAGCATATGAGTGGCCCTCTTATTGTACCGAAGTCATCTTACAAGTCCTACCATTTACCTGGTGGTCAATCACATATTTCATCACACCAACCAGATATAACATCGCTTAGTACAGGAACTCATCTGCCTTTGTCAGCACCTAATCTCTCACCCTTGTCTGCTTCTCAGCTTCATTTGTCAGGATTGCTTCGGGGGTTGCCATATGCAGGAAACATTTCCCAGTTTACTCCAGATCTTCCAATTAATAGCAGACCACAGAGTCTATGGATGAATGAAGCTTCCCTTTTTTCTGGGGAAAATCACACTCCCCTACTTGGTTTGTTGCAACAACAGTTGCCTCATCCCAATGGTTTGTTGACTCCACAGCTTTTTTCACTTCAGCAGCAGCAGAGGCTCCATCTCAAACAATATCTACCTTCTTTGCCACAGTTCCAGTCTCAACATTTTAGTCACCTTCCTTCCTCTTATTTGGCAAACAATTTTGACGCAAATCCTGGCATTTCTGAGTTTAGAGAGCATAGGCCAAAACCTTCTCATAAAGGACGACAAAACATGCGAAGTACTCAACAACTTGCTGATGCTGGCATTCGGAAGAGTGACAGTGGGTCATTACAGTTTAAATCAAAATATATGTCTTCAGAAGAAATAGAAAGCATTTTGAGAATGCAGCATGCTGCAACACAAAGCCACGACCCTTACATAGATGACTACTACCACCAGGCCTGTTTAGCAAAAAAATCTTCTGGGTCGAGGTTGAAGAACCAGTTCTGTCCATCGTTCATCAGAGACTTGCATTCTCGCAGCCGTTCTAATAATGAGAAACCTGCATATCTACAAGTTGATGCACTTGGCAGGATTTCATTCTCTTCCATACGTAGGCCTCGCCCTCTACTTGAAGTTGACCCCCCATCTGTTCTTGGTGATGGAATCCTTGAACAGAAGTCTTCTGTGAAACCCCTTGAGCAAGAAACTATGCTGGCTGCCAGGATCACCATTGAGGATGGTCTTTGTCTTCTTCTTGATGTGGATGATATTGATCGGCTTTTAAAGTTCAGCCAAACTCAAGATGGTGGCTCTCAACTAAAGCGGAGGCGACAGGTCCTTGTTGAAGGACTTGCAGCCTCCCTTCAACTTGCTGACCCGCTTGGCCCTGGTAAAGCTGGCCACTCTGTAGGACTTGGTCCAAAGGATGATCTCGTGTTCCTTCGACTTGTCTCCCTTCCCAAAGGCCGGAAGCTCCTTTCACGTTATCTTCAGCTTCTTTATCCTGGAAGTGAGCTTGCTCGGATAGTTTGCATGGCAATCTTCCGTCATCTGAGGTTTTTATTTGGTGGCTTGCCCTCTGATGCAAGTGCAGCTGAAACCAACATAAATCTTGCTCGGACTGTTTCCTCTTGTGTGTATGGCATGGATCTCAGTGCATTAAGTGCTTGCCTTGCTGCTGTTGTTTGTTCATCGGAGCAGCCACCTCTTCGACCACTTGGAAGCACTGCTGGTGATGGAGCCTCTATTATCATAAAATCTGTCCTTGAGAGAGCAACTGACCTACTGACTGATCTACATGCTGCCAACAAATACAGCATGCCCAGTAGAGCTCTGTGGCAGGCATCTTTTGATGCATTTTTTAGTCTGCTGGCTAAGTATTGCCTCAGTAAATATGACAGTATAATGCAATCCTTGCTTACTCAGTCGCCTGGTGCTAACCTTGTGGGATCTGAGGTAAACAGGGCTGTTAACAGGGAAATGCCGGTGGAGCTGTTACGTGCCAGTCTTCCCCACACAAATGACCGTCAACGGAAGCAGTTACTTGATTTTGCACAGAGATCTATGCCTGTTATTGGATATAGCGCTCATGCAGGTAACAACGGCCCAATGCCTTCAGAATCAGTGCCTGGTTGATATGTCTCTACCGTTTAAATGGGTGAACAATGCACTTCCATGATCAGGCATGCAAGCACCCTTTGGGCCAGTTCTTTTATGAATACAAGCCTTCATTACCATCACCATGCATCATCATCAATGCTCATATCAGAAGGTGTGAGAATTGCTTATGCCCTGCGATCAGATGTTAGTTTTCACTGTGTTCTTTCTCTGAACTTTGTCTCTTCTAACATGTAAACTTTAGAAACTGTTGGGAGTTACCGGGAGGTTTCTGCTTCTGGGGAGCTTTATTTTGTTCGCTCTGCATGGGAACTCCAGTTAAGTTTATTAGTGCCTCAAACCTATACAGGTTTGATTCTGGAGACCGATCATTTCTTCAGTTTTTAGACATCAATGTGTCATAAGGGTACTTCTATGTGTGGATTTGTTGTTGTAATTATTTTGATAGAATTTATATTTAGGTGGTTTAATCACTTTTGCGTAGGGGGAAAGTTTTGTTTTCACCTTAGAATTAATCTTTAAAACTCGTTAGTCTAGTAATTGACCAACACATTCTATCCCTTATTTGATGTGTAGGCCACCTGCAGTTGCTATCATTGAATTCTAAATCATCTGTGAGAAAATCTAAATGTCGTTCGGAGGTGAATCAGAATGTGTCATGTCATATATTTGATGTGGACGTCAACTGTGTATCGCTCTATATATCACGTGATGTGACGTGTTCTGATTTGCTCTGAATAATTTAGTGTCCGCACAGAAAAATATCATATATGTGAAGTTTTTAAAAATAGTAAATTATAATAACTTTTAAACTAATAATATATTGTATGTTTACAATTAAATTTTTTTATTGTTTATGTTTATTTAAACGTATCAATTCTATGGTTGCATGCTTTAATTATTTTAATGATTTTTCATTTAGACATGCTAAATGATTTCAAGCTGAAAAAGGAGATTAATATTATTACACACTGAGTATTATTTTAAATAAGAAATTTTAATATACGTTTCAATAATCAATACAAATAATTAGCGTTACATGAACATATATTCTAAAATGTAATACAAGTAATATAACTTCATATTTCTGTTGCGTCTGACTGTATTTAATTATTTATGCTATAATTCTATCAGTAAATTTAAAATATATTTAAAATCCATTATGATAAGAAAATAGTTTTATGAAGTAACGTAAGACTTTAAAAATTAATAGCAACAAAATATTTACATTAAGCTAACTTTGCAGTTAACTGTAATATTTATTATAACAGATGAATTTTTCTTGGTAACCTCTTAAATAGATCTATGTAGATTTTAAATCTTTTAATTAATAGTCAACATTTCTAACAAACAAATAAAGATGAGATGAGTCAATATGCTGATTTTTTTTTTGAGACATTTAGGCCATTTAAGGCAAGTAAATACACACAATGCATACACAAAGACTCAAACTCAAGACCTATTGGTTGGAAGACTAATATCTCAACCAACAGACCAAGTTGAGTTGTGTCCAATATGCTGCTCTTAGAAGAGGGAATGTGGAGCCGAAGCTTTTGCAGAGCTGTAAACATGCATCGGAGTTTCTACAGACACACACAACTCTCTTTGGCCTATTGGTTGAGAGCTTAGGCTTCCAACTAAGAGATCCAGGGTTCGAGTCTATGTGTATGCATTGTGTGTGTGAGTTTGCCTTAAATGGCCTAAATGTCCAAAAAAAAAAAGAGCCTACAGACGTGGGGGGCGGGGGCATCTGGAGCTTTTGCCGGTATTTAGAACGGGAAAACATTAGAAAAGCATCTACGGAAAGCTTTCAAAAGTCTACTTAAAATGGAGTTCTAAGAAAAGTGCTTAAGGGCTTGTTTGGGATGGCTTTCTCAATGCTTCTTTTTAAAATAGTTTTTTAATATAAAAATTAATTTTTTTTACTCAAAAATTATTTTAAAAATCAATAAAAAAATCTTCCCAAATGAAGTCTAAATAGAATCGCTGCACCCAAATTAACACATCAAATAATAAGCTCTGAGATACTCTACTTATGCCTGGATGTCTAGTATTGATAAGCTGAAAATGGCTGATTTACTAATCAAAAAAGCTATTAATATACCATTAAGTTGCTTTCTCTGCCATTAAGCTTTTGAATCTCATAAACATCTTTTTTTTTTTTTAGCGCGACTTCTCTATTTATGTGCTTAATGAGCTATTTCCGATGCTCAGATCATTTTTGTTGAGGCCGACCATCTTTCAATTATTTGATTATTTTGATAATAATCAGCAGTTTAATAAAGGTGTAAAGCAATTTTGCTTTTTAACCATTCGTTGCTCTATTTATCAGCTATGGAGGGAAAGAAATAATTATCTCTTTAATGGCATCAGTGTTAGTTCTCTCACTGTCATCAATTCTATAAAATTTGTTGTCCGGTATAAAGCCTTCAATTGGAAATATTACGAATCTATCAAAGACTCCTTTCCTGGAGTAAATATTACGTCCATACAAAAAATCGTACGTATACCGAGCAATACCGAGTTTCAGGTGACGTTGCGCGTGATTATTTGCCTCTAGACGCGTCAGGTGACATGACGTAATAATTGCTCCCTTTCTTGACATTCTGTCTTGAAGCTATTTTTGTGATTTCCACTCCATCTTTTCCTGAGCAATGATGTGAGGGCTTCGTACCAAAATTCCTGGTTAAATCAAAATGATTTTTATGATCTTGTGTTGAATCAACAAAAATAGGTGTCCAAAGATAATTGGTAACTTCGGCATCTAATAAATTTTGCAATAAAGCCCACCGTTTAAATTAGCTACCTAAAGGACACTAAATTTAATGCCCTTAAATGATACTTGTCTATGAATCAAATGAAACCTAACAAAACAAGCAAGCATTGTTGGCACAAGTGGCGTTTCAGACATCTAAGGTCTTAATTTCATCAAGCAATATAAACATAAAAGAGTAGCATTTTCATTTTTCATGTGAAAAGAACCTTTATCCAAATGATAGGGAATGCTAATATAGTAGAAACAAAAGAGGGAATTTGAGGAACAAAATTAAGACATCATAACGAAATCCAAGATACCTGGACTCAGAATTTCAAGAAGTGAATTTCAGTGTTTGTAAGTAGAGGAGGAACAGCTCTCCTGGTTGCTACACGGGTCATCCAAGGGGAGAGGGCTTGGACTTACGGGATCATCATCATCGTCCGAGGCATGTTGCATTCCCACTAGATCATAATAAACGAAGAGCCCGATGAGCAGATAATGAATTCAGAAAGAAATAAATTCAAATAAATAAATGTAGGAGCAATAACAACAAAAGAATACCGATGCACATAATCACTAGCATCGATAACTGTTAGGTTCAACTACACCCATGCAGTATAAAGAGAGCACTAGCAAAAAAATAAGCATATTGTTTAAAGCACTGCACCCACAACAACTGAAAATTCATGTTCCAAAATCAACATGAAAGCCAACATATAACTACAGAAGGACACCAATGTACATATGCTAAAAAATAAATGACCCATATTAGCACAACATAAAATTTAAAAATTTATCGAGGAATTGAGGTGATCCCATTTTTTTCATTTTGAAGCTTTAAGGTAAACAACTCTTGATTTTTAGCATGTAGTAAATAAGCTGCCTTGATAATTGCCAAATTTTTTATCATTTTTTTCTCTCTAAAAATAATAAATAGTATAGCAAATAATAAAAAGGTAGAAATATATATTTAACCATTTTATATTTTTAACAATAAGCATATTTAAATAATATTACTATTTTTGGTACTAAGTTGCCAAGATAATTTAGTGTCATTGAATAAATATACAATAACTCATTTATCTTATTATTTGTATTCTTAAATAATTCAAATATCACTATTAATTAAGCCATACATAATGTGTTTGATTTGGATAAATGTCTTGAATAAATATACAATAAACTCATTTATCTTATTCTTAAATGATTCTTAAAAGCATAACATAATATAAATTTTAAATTAAAATGAAACTTATTATTTAAGAATACATTTATTCAAGAATGTTTGAATGTCTTGGATATTTGTAATTGAAAATATGAATAATTTATAACCTATAGGTAATCTACTACAACCGCAAATGATCTCAATGATAGCCGATTGATTCGAGTTTACCCTTAACTTTGAAAAAGGTTAATATTAAATTAGGAGAGGAGAATATAGAGCTTTTTCATTTATTCATAATGTGCCCAAAATAGGAACAATTATTAGGTCAGGTGACCTGACATAGCTCTACGTTCGGACGCTAATAATATGTTGTAACGTGATCTTACTTAATACTGCGCAGCCCGATGACTTGACTCGGGATTGCTATATTCGCATATTGCTCGGTATTGCTCTAGATATTGCTCGGTATTGCTAGGTATTGCTCGATATTGCTAGGTATTGCTTGGCAATAATGAAAAATATCGCTATGTGAAGACCAATACCAAGCAATACCGAGAAATACTGAGCAATATCGAGATTTTCTCGGTATTGCTCAGTATTGCTCGGTATTACTCGGTATTGCTCGGTATTGCTCGTTATTGGTTTTCACATAATGGTATTTCTCGTTATTGCCGAGCAAAATCGACCAATACCGAGCAATACCTAGCAACACCCGAACATAACAGTCCCGTCTCTGTTCCGGGTCGGGGTTGTCGGGCCGCGCCGTAAATAGTGAGAAAACGTGGCACTATTTTACTGGCGTCTGAACGTAGAGCAACGTCAGGTGACCAGACCAAATAAAAGTTCCCAAAATAGTGGCTATTTATAAATGTACTTGACTAATCAAGATTTACTAATTACACATTAAGTATCTAATAATCCTATTAACTTAAATGCTAATTGATGTGTGTTGGAAGATTGGAGGCGATAGAGAGAAGAGTTTAATGTCTTAGCTTTATATGAAGATCCAACATACATACATATAAGAGAGAGATGTACAAGAGTCATAACAAACACTAGAATTTTTACGTGAAAAATCCTAATAAGAGGAAAAACCACCGAGCCTGACCCAGTTGAAATAATTCCACTACTGTTTGTTATTGATTACTAATGATGCCCATTCTCAAGGACATCTGTTGTTATAATGTAGTAAATATATATTATATAGAGCACATTACATAGTTTGAGTTAGAAGAATCCACGATATGAGACATGTTCTCAAGAGAACGTTGGCATGTTCATTTGATCAGTAGGGTTATGGTCAGCTGACAATTGAGGTTAGAAGGACTATAGTCGGGCGACTGAGATCAATGGACTGTAGACGAGTGCAGGTGGTCAGAGGGATCGTAGTCAAGTGACGATGGTCCGAAGGATTGTATTCAGACGACAGAGATTGGAGTGATTATAATCGAGTGATAGAGGTCAGAAGGAATGTAGTCTGCGGGTGATGAAGGTTGAAAGACCGTTGTCGTGAAATAGTGGTATGAGGGACCTTAGTTGGTAGGCGATGGAGTTCTCAAGTATCGTTGCAAAAGTCGGGTAAAAGTCCCGTCTAACAGTTTTTTGGATTTACAAATAAAATAAATTTTTGGATTCCTGTCTAACACATCAGCATTTATTAAATAAAGTTTTAATTAGATATTATCTAAGCATTTACATTGCTAATAAGCAAGGAAAAGATAAAATTTATAAATTAAATTTATTTGAGATATATGGTATTATCGAGTCGAGCCAACTCGTCTGTCACAAATGTATTAAAAAATCATGTTATGATTGTTCGATAAATTTCATACTAGATATCTATCAGCTAACTCAGTCTTCCATTTTTTTTAATCAAGGGCTTGCCGACCTAACAACCTCAGTGTTAATTTTTTTTTCTTTCTTCTGAGAACATTGTAAGCCTTGTTAATATAAGAGGAATTTTTTAAAAGAATATAAGCTTTCTAGAAGTTAGCTGCTTTTGTATTAGAAAGATACCTAGCTAAATTTCTAAATAAAGAAAAGTCCTAGCATCAACAACATTACAGGCCTGCTCGTAAGCCTAGTCTCATCAAATTCGAACTCGAGCTTGTTTAATAGATGAGCTCAAATTTAAACTTGAGCTTGAGCTAGTGGCTCGATAAAGTTAGCTTATGAGCTTATTACGACTCGGGCTCCAATCGGATCAACTCCGTTAGAACCTTGTTAGTTTGTGCGGAAACTGATTGTGTTGATTAATTGGGTTGTATTGTTGCCTCGAACCTCAAGTCAATTTTTTATGTTTGTTGAGGGTGTGGGGGGACCCCTCTACCCGAAGTTTTTTTTCTTTTTGTACAAAGAGCGCTCCGACGCTATGTATTCGAGAGCCTCATTGCTGCAAAGTTTACTGGGAGAAACTATATAAAGCGGAGAGCTGTAGTGCTGCGAGCTTGAGTGTCGCAGCCCGCAACATCGTTAGATGGATCGGGATCATAGGTTTGAGTGTTGCAGTGTTCCAAACTGATGGCCCAACTTTTTGAGGCTGACTGAACAACTTTTTTTTTTTCTCGTTTTTCTTAAGGGTGGCATCCCTTGGTGTTATTAACTTGATTTTCTCTTATATTTTGTGTGTGAGAACATAGTAAGAGAGAAGAGAAGCAAGAAGAGTGTCAGAGAGATATACAACTTATTTCTCCCAATTTTCATAGTGGATTACTTGATGTGTTGTGGCTCCATATATTATTATAAAATTTCGACGTTAAAACCTGATATCCTTTACTTTTCACTGCTTTTTTTTTTTTTCTTTATTGTTGCGGTGTTTTACTTTTCTCCATTCCAACAACCCCTGCTAAGAATAGTAACTTTTGTTATAAACTCTTCAATTTTTTTTAAAAAACTAAAGCTTAGAAAGTAACTTTGACTAAATTAAATTGAAATAAAAAAATTTAAAATTTAATGGAAACTATATATGCCATTATCATTATTAACGTTGCGTTAAGACGCCATTATTATTTGTCAGATGAGCGGACTTGAGAAAGAAATGTCAAATGCGTGAGTTATATGTTATGTTTTTCTATTAAGAAAATAAAAATATTATAAATATTTTTAACATATAACAACCATTGTAATTAATTTTAAAAATTATAAAATAGTTTCTAGTGACAGAGTTTTTTTTTTTTTTTTTTTTTTTTTTAGATTATTCAAAAAGTATTCTGATATTTTTTTTCTTATAATTATAAGCACACCTTCACAGCGCATTTGATAATCTCTACTGCTTAGGGGACTCTGATTAGCATGTGAGGAAGCTATCTTGCTTAAGGAAGCAAAAATGGGAGCTTGGATTCAGAGACGTTGGCTTTTCATACGAAGAAGGAAGAACGTGTGAGCAGTAAGGAGCCCTATATGCGTATGTGCGTGCCAGTTTGTAATGTGTGAGCTTTATACGATTTGTTCATCAAAAGGAGCGCCATTTACTGATATTGGGATCTCTTTTCGTCTTTATTAGGGCTTTGGCATTCGCTTCAAGTGCTCAGTTGTAATTTGTAAACTGTTAACAGCTTCTCACTGCTATAATGGTTTTTTGGTATGTTTATGGTCTCCTCGCTCCCTCCTACACTGCACAATCTTCTTCTTCTGAATTTTTGTGTTTTCCCCACATTTTGGACCCTGTAAGGAAGCTTGGTAGCTTTGAATAAAGTCTTTTCTTGCTTTCTGGTTTGAGTTTGTTGCTTTAATGATTGGGGTTTAAAGGATTTAAGTGGGTGTGTGATTGTCTTCCCTTTTGGCTTCTTCATATCTTTTGTTGTCTTTTGTGATATTTATACTAATTGTTGGTTTAGGTATACCTAATTCTCAGTTGCATCCAAGATTAGCAGCCAAGGAAAGCATTGGGCTCGGTAGAAGAAGCATTCTACTTTTTTGTTGTTATCCATGAAGGGTCTTTCTCAAATGCTTCCTACCAGCAGGAGCAGGTCGCAGCTTAGATCCAATAGATCTGGGTCTTTTTCAGGTTAGTTTTACACCAGTGATCAAAAGATCATTTTGGTTATTGATTTCTTAATCATGGGGGTGATAGCCATATACTTTTCTTCTATTACAAGTAAAAAATAAATTCAATACAGCTTTATGAAGTTGTTATTAGTAGATGAATTAGAACATGCATTATTGTTTTTAATTCTCTCATCTTGAAGCTAAATTTCATAAGAAGTCACATCCATGCTTGTATAAAATTGTTATTTTTTATTATATTAGTATAGTATCTGGGTAAACACAAAGCACAATATATAATTGTCTTATTCAAATATGCAACCTATTGATTATGCTTGTCTTGTTTGTTCAGAAATGGAATGCTCAGAATCAAGAAGGAAGCCCCACTTTCTTGGTAAAGTTTTCATTGCTGCTATTTTGACAACCTTCTGTGTAGTTATTGTGAAGCAACCTCCAAGTTTCAGCTATTCAAATGTGGTAAATGTTTTCCTTTTGTTGTATTGCAATCTCCAAAACTCTTACTATGTGTAATGAGATGAACTCTTGTGAAAACTTGAAGCCATTTCAAGGATACCTTTCATGATAAAAATCTGCCCCTATATGATTTAGTTGCTGGCACTGTAATTGTTGCATATTTTGTGCTAGGAAGTGGCATGCGGCATGTTAAATTTGTGCAATTGAGGCCTTTAAGCTTAAGTATTCAGTTGGTGCCGCGATAGCCTATATTGTTCTAATCAAAATTTTAACCAAACAACTATACAGGTTATGATGTCATTTTCTTCTAACTTCTATATTTCAGAAAACAACACTTAAATTTCTCAAGTTCATTTTAGATTATGGTCATTTGACTCATTTACTTTTACTTTGATTTCTAATCAATAAATAAATGGAATGTATGCTATGTGTTATCATAGTTTTTCCTCTTTTTTTATGGCCAGACCAATCAGCTACTTGCAATATTCGGATATGTGTTGCATTACCAGTTTACATTGGCATAAGTTATTCTAGTTCATTGTGCCTTTGTCAAGGGATGCATTAGTTAGCGGAATAAATTTAATATTTAACTCTTTAATTATTGTTGTACCAAGGACAACTGTGGTGTTCTCTATCTTGTTTTAGACAGGTCATAATCTTGCAACCCTTTCTCTCTCTCTCTCTCTCTCTCTCTCTCTCTCTTTTGGGTTTTTGTTTTGTGCCGGAAAATTCTTTGTGGTAGAGATAATATAACATCCTAGGTTGTACGAAGATCCCTCACACATGCATTTAAATTGAGAGTAGCATAGATATATGAGATTTTTTTATATGGACAACCGAAGAATGGAAAAAACTATAGGTCCTTATTTGAAATAATTGTACTAGTGTGAATCGAGAGTTATAAAAGAAAATTTTCTTCATAACTAGAGAAAGCATTATTACAATGTAATAGATTTGAATTATGAGAGCTATTTTCTTTGGTAGAGTCTAGATGTATGCAACCAATGGTAAACAATATAAGTCAATTGCTAGAGGTTGTCCGGTTTGGTCATTCTTCTGATAAGAGGGGAGACTAGGAGACTGGGAGGCAAGCATCAAATGTCGATGGTTAGTAAATCCTGGTAGCTAACTAATGTCTGATAATTGATGATTAAGAACATCAAAGTTAGCCAACTAGACCGTTCTTCTAATTGGAGTTATATTGGAGGTTGGGCAATCGAGAGGGCTAGTGTCGTACATTAGTGACTGCCAAACATTGAGCAATGGTCGTTTACAAGCGTTTGCTAATAGTCGATGAGAAACATTTGGAGTCAGGTGAAGATGGTTGATCCATTTAATCATTCTCTTGATGGGAGGGAGATCAAGCGGCCTTCAAGAAAAGCACCAAATATTAGTAATTGCCAAAATATGGATGTTGGCAAGTTTCAGGCTGTGGGTGGTGAGGAACATTGAATGTCGGGCAATAATGGATTGTTTGCTTGGTCATTTCTTTAATATGATGGAAGAGCATATGGTCGAGAAATGAATGTCGGACATCAATTATCGGTCATTGGCAATAAATGTTAAAAGTTAGGTGACGATGAACAATTGACTTGATCATTCACCTAGGAGGAGATTAGACTAGGTGACTAGGAAGTTGAGCGTTGGGCATTGGTAGCTGGTAGGTGTTGGACATTCTTCTTTTGCATGTGTAGGGAAATGATTGATGAAGAATGTTATAAGTTGAGTGACGGTGAGTGCTTGGCTTCATTGTTCTCTTGATAAGATGGATGATCGAAAGACCAAAAAGATGGGTGTCTAAAATCAATATATGGTAGATGTTGCATGCTAGTTGTTGGCAGACATTAGACCATGGTTGATGAGGAATGTTGGATTCTGTGCTAAGGTTAGCGATAAGCTTGGCCGTTATCTTGATAGGAGGAGAGATTGGGCAACCGGCGAAGATGAGCGTCGGATGTTAGACACCAGTTATTGGTATGCATTGAGTGATAATCTATGGGAGATGTCAGTAGCTGGCGACAACTGATGGATTTGTCCTAAATAAACGACATTCTCTTGAACTTAGAATTGAGCTATCTTGGATGTAGTATATTTATGTTGTCAAGATGCTCATTTCTACTATGAACAAATAAAAGTTGGAGCATGTTGAAAACCTTAAATGGCCTCAATAGGGTTTTAATTATACTTAAGTACTTGATGTGGGTCCATTTGGACTTGGGTTGCGTGATTTTAGTTCCATGAGATTTTTCTTATCGAATTCTACTGGCTTGAATATAAATTTGTTGAAAATAGAACCTAGATGATCTAGCAATCGAACAATGTATTTGAGACTAAAAACTTGCATTAAATTTCGTGGCTTGCTAGGCAAATTTTGCAAGCCATATTAGTTTTCTAAAATAGAAATTTCTTATATAAAAGCTGTTTATCTAAAGTTAAACCTCCATAATTTCCTGAACTTAATAAATATGCATTTCTTGCAAAATCAGGTAAATATTGTGTAGCCTTACCTGCCCTTTAATTTTTTTTTTAATTTCACTTCTTGTGTTTTTCCAAAATTATCATGGTTGGAAGTTGTTCCTAAGGACTTTAATACACGACATCATTCTTTTTTACTAATCTAGTCGAACTCAACAACCACTACCCCCTCAATTTCTTATGGTGCAAAGTCCCAGAATATATAGCGATCTTTATTTGCACTATGAAATTTTAATCATGGCTGAATTTTTTGTTCATTTTCTTATGTCTGCTGCTGATGATTTTCATTGAATTCTAATTTGTTCTTACAATTTTTAATTCTCCTTATATCTTAACAGTTCGCGCATCATGAACTGGGAGTTACACATGTTCTAGTGACTGGAGGAGCAGGCTATATAGGATCACATGCTGCACTTCGGCTCCTGAAGGACTCTTACCGAGTGACTATTGTGGTATCATAGAATCCCTCTTTGGAAAACCTTGTTTTAACCATGCAATGCTGCATAAGGATAAAGTTCTGAAGCTTTTATGACCAAAGGAAACATTTTTCTATTAAATTTTGTACAGGACAATCTTTCCAGGGGAAATATGGGGGCAATTAAGGCCCTGCAAGAGCAATTTGCGGAGCCTAGTAGACTACAATTCATTTTTGCTGATCTTGGCAATGCTAAAGCTGTATCCTTGTATGCTCAATTTACTAACTCTATAACATATATATTATTACAGAGGCCTTTTTTTTTTTCCTTAGCCAATGTTCAGGTCAGAAAAATATTTTCTGAAAATGCGTTTGATGCTGTCATGCATTTTGCGGCAGTTGCATATGTCGGTGAGAGCATGCTTGAGCCTCTAAGGTAAATCAATTTTTCTTCTCACTTTGGGAGCATAATTTGGTGACAAGAGCTAGGGAAAGTCTTGTTGTTTCTCCCTTATTTCGGAATAAGAGTTGTGCAAGCTTATCTTGGTGCATATGTCTTTATATTTTTAGTGCGATAATTAGACTCCCTTGATATAAAATTAATATTATTGTGTGCCGGAACATTCGCGACGGTAAAGAGATATTGGGTTTAGCATCCTACCTTTGTATGAAGATCCAACTTACACATAAATAAGAGAGATGTGTGCAATAGTCATAAGACACCAAGATTTTTACATAGAAAATCCAAAAAAAGAGAAAAATCAGGAGGCCAGCCCTAGTTAAAATGACTCTACTAGTGTTTGTAGTCGATTACAAATGATGTTGTTTCTAGAAGGAAGGCCTTGGCTCAATGTAACAAATATATACATATAGGGCACGTTACATGGTGGGTGTTAGAAGCATCCAGTGATATGAGAGTTGTTCTCAAAAGAATGTTGGCTTGCTCGTTTGGTCGGTAGGACCGAGTTAGGCGATGGAGGTTAGAGGGGACGTAGTCGGGTGATTGAGGTAAAGGGGGTCGTTATCTGGTGACAGAGGTTAGAGGGAACATAGTCGTTTGGTGACAGGGGTCGGATGGACAGTAGTTGACGAGCAATCGTGGTCGGAGGGACCATAATCGATGGACAAAGAAGGTTAGAGGGACCATAGCCAACGAGTGACAGAGGTCAGAGGGACCGCAATCAGTGGGTGATAGTCGTCAGAGGAGCTATAGTTGGCGAGCGATGGTGGTTGGAGAGATCACAATTGGTGAGTGGTGGTGGTCAGAGGGATGGCAGTCGGCTGGCGATTGAGGTCTGAAGGGCCGTAGTTAGTGGGCGATAGAGATCAGAGGCCGTAGTTGATGGGTGAAGGAGGTCAGAGGGACCGTAGTCGGCGGGCAACAATGGTTGGGGAGATCATATTCGGAGGGCGACAGAGGTCAAACAAAGGCCCAGTGGTGGTTGCGGACTGGAGGTCCAAGAACGATGGTTGGGCAGAAGTCCAGCAGCAGTGGCCTGGTGGCGCAAGTTCGTTGGCGGTGGTTCTAGGGTGGAGCTCCGAGATTTTTCATGTCTCAGAGTTCTATTGAGTCTCTAGCTTAGGGTCAAAGCGTTCAAAGGTCTACGCCCCCTTTCATGTGAGAAAATGATGTCTATTTATATATTTTGAGTGGAATGATCTATAAATATGAAGAAGATCCATGACAAATCCAAAGTGCTCCATTGGGCAACCCATATTTATCACCTCAATCATGCAACATTTAGTCAACATTTAAGTGCCTCAATAGTGTCAAAATTAAGTGATCTTTGACTTGTCGGATTTGTCTCGTCGAAACGCTCGATTCGACTATAAGCATTTCCATATTTTAATATCATTTGGTCATCCAATTAATGCATTAGAGCTTCCAAATATATTTTAAGCCCTTGATTTGAGCCCATTTGAGCTCAAATTGGACAGATTTTAGTGTTGTGGGGTTCGTCTCATCGAGACATTCAATTTGAGCATAAGTTTGCTAAAATCGAAGTTTGGATGTTCTCAGTTTAACTTTAGAAGTTTCCCATTCATATATTGATGAGGACATCATCAGCGATTTCGACACGTGTACCATCGGAGACGCCGGAGATCGACGGCCATGATCAGGAGTTTATATTTTGAGTCATTTTATGTAGTAGTTTATTTTATTTTTAGTTTTTACTGTTTTACCCTTATGGGTGGTCATTTGATATTGTAGCCTCGAGGGCATTTATGTCTTTTATTTTTTGTTTCATTTTGGCCTATTTATATGAGGCATCATGCATTGTACTAGATGATGAATGATATGATATATCTTTGATCTTCTTCTTCTTCTTCTTGTGAGTGCACTAGAGAGAAGGGAGAGCCCAACGAGTGGGCAAGCGCAATACCCACCAGTCACCGGAGGTGTCCGTGGCTTGTGGTTTTTTCTAATTTTCGTTTTCTATTCTAGTTTCGTCTTTTCCCACCGGTTCCTCATCATCTTTCCACCTTCATCCCGCAACCAAAATATCTCCCATTGATCCTACCAAATCCCTCTTCCAAATCCCACCTGCCGGCCTAAGCTAGTGGCCACCTCAACCCAACGCCAAACCTCCATGTTTCCCCTTGACTGTCGGCCCCCTTCCACCTCCCACATCATTATGATGATTTCAATCATCATAATGACTCCCTAATTTGGGTTCTTTCAATAAAGGGAGAAGTTAGCAAGTTTGAAATTCAAAATTTGAAATAAAAAAACTTCCATATTTGCAAAAGTTCAAATAAAGAAATATTTCGAATTTCAATCCAATTTAAATTTCATTTAGTGTGGAATTATTAATTTCCCTCTTATTTGACCTCAACTTGTTTGGAAAGCAATTAGTTTCTCCCTAATCCCCTCTCCCTCCCTCTCAATGCCGCCGGCCACTAATAGTGGGCTCCCCATTAATTCCCATTAAAAGCCCCTATCCCTAATTAATTTGATTTTCAAATTTCAAATTAATTCCCTCCAAATTTACTTAAAATTTGAAATTACCTTCATATTTGGAGTAAATCTCATTCTCTCCCCCTTGTCAAACCGCCGGCCTCATGTTTGGCTCCCCCCCCCAATTAACCTCCCATCAATGCATTAATTAATTCCCTCCAAAACTAATCAAAATCTGAAATCAATTTCAGTTTTGAATTAAACCCCTACCTTCTTGAGAAACCATAGTTCTCTCATGACACTTGAAGCCAAGAGAGAAGACAACCTCTCCTCCCAACCTCGTCATTGGTGCATGGCCAATCCGGAAGTCGACCACCATGGTTTCTTATTGGATGATCAAGGACGAACCAACATCCTTGAATCTCCTTCTCTTTGATGTGAACCTAGACGTGGATTCCTTCGTGGAGGATAACTTACATCGCATCCAGTTTACGCTAGTACCTTCCATCGAGGAGCATATTCCTCCTGGACGTTGGATACTCACTAGTCATCCCGTGGAATCCCCGCCGCCGACTACTTCTCCAACGGACTATACCTTGAGCACCATTTGTCTCCTAGTGGCATTGCTCGGTTTGCTCTCAATCTTCCTCCGTTAAAGCCCCACCGTCAAGAGCGTGAGTGAGGGACCCAAGGTGAAAAGTTCTATTTGTTAACCGTGGATTATTGTTTCTTCGCCATAACATTATACTCTATTTTTATGTTGTTAAATTGATAGCATCCCGTTAATATAGTTGTAACCGCATACCTTACATAATTTCTACTTGATAATTCTAAAAGTCTAACTTGGGTAAGCATTAATTCTATAACTAGTAAGGTTTTAATATTCTTATATTAAAATTCCCAAGCAGTTCTTGTTTCCATGCATATGTTTTACATCATATATGCTTCAAGATTAGTACTTGATTAAGACGATTTTTGGTGACGTATCCGTTGTTCCATATTTTTGGATGTCAAAACTAGCGGGGTTCAAAAATACATAACTGAGCCTTTCAAATTACAAAATATGAGGCACGACCAATCTCTAGACGTCAACATGGACCTCCCTTTGGGGTCATGAACCAAGAAAAATGCCCTTGATTGTAATTTTAATTTTTCCTGTTGTTGTTTTGTTGATTAGAGCGAAAAATATCAGAATATTGCGCTGAAATACTCTTAAATTTGCTTAAATTTGACTATAGATGCTTCATTAGGCTTTGAAAGTGTTAAAATTAAATTTGGAACATGGAAAAATGATTCCGGGGACCTAAAAAATGTCTGAATCAGACTGTCCGAACTGAAAATCAGGCATGGATTAATAAGTCAAAATGGTCTGCCGCCACACACCTCCGATAGGCGACTATTCACGCTTGGCGTCTGATCATGGAAGTGGGTACATTGTCCCAAAATTTTTGAAATTTTTATAATGAATTAATTATTTCCTTTTTTAATTTCTCCAAAAATAGGAAAAATTCAAGAAAAATTTTGAAAATTAAAAAAAAATTGAAATTTTTGGGAAGGGAAATAATCAATTATATGTATATTTATTTTATTTTTAATTTAATATCTTCCTTTTTATTTATGTAAAAAGGAAAAATTAGATTTTTGGCTTTAAAAATAAAACAAAAAAAAATCATAATTTTAAGGAGAAAAATTCCAAGCCTATCCCTTTCATGGATCTAAAAATGTTTCCCTTGGGGTTGGGGAAAAATGCACGATTTTCTTACACAAGCTCCAGTTCTACCATGTAAAAGGAGGGAGCAACTATCCAACAAGAGTTGAATGCCGTCAATCTCCAGTAAATGCCTATACCTTTTACACATGCTTCAATTCTCCCTCGTAAAAGAAGGGAACAACTCTCCGACAATAGTGTAAAGGATGTCAATCTCCGGTAAAGATCTAGTCCTCTGATGTAGGCAATCGTAGGTGTATGTTGATGGTGGCAGTTGGAGGGTATGTTGCTGATGGTGATCGAGCAAGGGGCTGATGATGAGTTTTAGGAGGTGAGGGGATGACGATCGTGGTTGACAAGAAAAGGACCGATGATGGCAATGGTCGAGTTGCATTCTATTGAAGGAAGTATGCATCCATGTTGATCGGGGCGGATAACATACAACCCACTGGAGGGGGTCGGGTGGTGTGTCGTCTAAAACAATTTAGCAACACATTAACAGTGCCAATTGAGTGGAGGCCTGATGGTGACAAGGCTTTAATCTTTTATTAAAAAATGAGTTGAAGAGAGATGCTTCAAAGTACTGTGTAGAAGAGGTCAAGAGAAATCCATCGAGGATGTTTGAACTATCCAAGGTGCTTGTCAAAGAATTGCTTGATGGCGTTAAACCAGTTGATATAACTTCACTAAGTATATTTGATATATCAGAGATCATTGTCAGAGCGTTGCTCAATGACGTTAACTTGTGCGGCGGAGGTTGGAAGAAATCCACTAGGGATATTTGACTTAGTCGAGATTGTTTTTCAGAGTGTTGCTCAATGATGTTAACCTGCATGGAAGAGCTTGAGAAAATCCGCTAGGGATATTTGACATATCCAAGATTGTTTATAAGAGCATTGCTTGATAGCGTTAATCTGTAAGGAAAAGATTGAGAGAGATTCACAAGGGATGTTTGATCTATTGGAGGTTATTTATTAAAACATTGTTTGATTGTATTAACTTGTTTGGAAGAGGTCAAGAGAAATTCATAAATGGATATTTGACCTATCCAATATTGTTTATAAGTGCATTTCTCAATAATGGTAACCTGCATGTAAGAGGTTGGGAAAATCCACTAAGGATGTATAACTTATCTGAGGTTATTTATCAAAGTATTACTTTGTGATGTTAATCTGTGTGGAAGAGATCTTAAGTAATTCAACAAAGATGTTTAAACTATCTGAGGTTGTTTGCCAAAGTATTATTCATGGTGTTAACCTATGTGAAAGTGGCCAATATATATCTGCTATGGATATTTGACCTATCCAAGATTGATTGTCAAAGTATTGTTGGATGGCATTAACCTGTTTGGAAGAGGTTGAAAAAATTCAATAAGGATATTTGACCTATCCGAGGTCGTTTGTCAAAGCATTATTTGATGACGTTAACCTATATGGAAGTGACCAGGATAAATCCACCAAAGATGTTTGATCTGTTTAAGATTATTTGCCAAAGTGTTACTTAATAATGTCAACTGCATGAAAGTTGGAAAAAATACACTAAAGATGTTTGACTTATTCGAGGTTGTTTGTTAAAACATTGCTTTATGACGTTAAAATGTGTGGAAGCAGTCGAGGGAATCCACCAAGGATGTTTGATCTATCCGATATTATTTTCCTGAACATTACTCGATGACATTAATTTGCATGAAAGTGGTTGGGAGAAATCAACCAATGATCTTTGACCTATCTGAAGTTGTTTGTCAGAGCATCGATAAGTATAAAGAATGTTATATTTTATTTGTTTATTTGTTAATGAAAATGTGTTGTTTTAGTTGTGTTTGTGTAGGAAAATATAGGAAATAGACAAAATTTTTAAATATGGTAATACGATAATCCCGCCGCGGAGCCATCATTGACACCTACGAAGCGCCAAAATATGGACATGGCGGCGCCCAATCTTTGTTTGACAACGCCGCAATGTCGGAGGAGTCAGCGTCGCAAAACTCAATCTCTGTCTACACAGCACTGCGACGCCAAATTTTAGCACCGCTGAGTCAAGGGAGTGCGGCATTGCGGCGCTCAACCGTTAACATTGCCATGATACTACAGTTGTAACTATTAAGGCCACGATCGACCAGCGAAGCGACGCGACGATTCATTAAACAACGGATGCATGCCAGCAAGCACCGCAGCGGAGGAAACCCTTTGGCGCTGCGACATTAGCTCATTTTTTGGGCATCACGGTGTAAGTGTCTCGAGCTTCGTGATGCTAGAATCCATTTTGTGTGCTTTTCTATAAATAGTTTGTTTGTAATGTTACTAGAAGAGTTCAACCACTTTTTAAATTTCAATCTTTATAGTGCTTCTCTGTTTTTTTTCTTAGGAGTGACAATTAAAAGAATTTATAGAAGTATCAGATACATTCCATTAGAGTGTTTGACTTGTATTTGTGGAAGCAAATCTGTAAGTTCAATTAGTGTAGATGAGACATTGAACTCATCCGATGATATCTTTTCTTCTATACTTTCTTTTTTTGTGCAATTAATGAAAATGAATATGTTTTACTTATTTTTCATGTCTGGCTAAATTATCTGGTTTTGAATTTATGGTGTAAGTGAAATATGGAGTTCAAATGAATTCCTTTCATCAATAATTTCATAATATTTTTTTAATATATCAAATCTTTATATAATACATGTAGTGGCCATATGTGTAGTTAATATTATGTGTAATATGGAGCATTGGAATAGAAAAACAGGCACAATCATATATGTTGGATTATGCAAGCATAGATATAGTGCTTGTCATGTATCAACTTTATAAAGATGAATTGTTATGAGTATATTTTAACAGTATATGCTTTACTTACTCTTCTAAGATTTGTATAGGGTAACAGACTAGGAGAGTTTAGAATGATATTGAGGTTAAAAGAGTTTAATATGTCCTTTGCAAGTAGATATTCTTCCTCATGGAATCAATAGTCTACTCTAGCACTATATTATTTTACTCGACAAGTATACTTGCGTATATTAAGTGAGATTTTTATAATTTTTATATCAAAGAAAATCTAAGTATTGTTTCAAGCCCTAATTAATTTTCACTATTCTTTAAGTTACTTCACCGCCCCATCAAATTTTTGGTGCAGTTGCCGATGAAGAATTTGTTTTATTTGCAAAGTTACTATATTACTAAATTAATTATAGAATTATACCTACTCATACTTTATTAATAATATATCTATATTGCATTTGGTGTTGTTATTTACATTGCATTGCATTAATAGTTAAATTATTAGTCATATTTACATTATGTCATTTAAGCGTCGCGGCGCCAGATATCACAACGCCACAGTGCTTGACTTGATTTTAGTACAGTTCCATAAATTGAAATTTAATAGATTTAATAATTATATAAGTAGCGCCACAACGTTTATCTTTGAAGCGTCGCAGAGCCAGTCAAACTCAGTCATTAAGCATTGTTAAGTCATTAGTTAAAATGAATCATACGGATTGAAAGTCACATTATTGGTTTCGGGTAAACGCCGTAGTGTTGGAACTAGCATCGTGGCGCCACATCATTTTCATTTTTGGGCTTAGACTTGTCCAGGCTAATGAAAATATATTGTGATAATTTAACTTCCGACTGCAGTGTTTTTGGCTAAAAATAACAAAAACAGTAGTCAAAGCAAGCATATTAATATTAAGTACTTAGCCATAAAAAACGTGTTAATGAAATACAATGGTTATTGAGCATATAAACACTGAATTGATGATAGCAGATTCTTTAACTAAAGGCATGCCACCACAAAAGTTTAAGGATCATGTGGTCTGCATGGGTTTAGGTTGATTTGGTTAATTTCATTGGAAAATGAATTTGGTTATGATGTTTTTTCATATTTTAGTTATTTATGTAAACACATTTATGTAATGATAAACATCATTAAGTTGGACTTTGAATAAACTTAAGATTTATTCATTAAGTTGAATAAGTAGATAAATAAGAGATGTTATCATTGTGATGTATTGGAGATAATACTCGTACTTAGAGGACCGGTCACCTTAATTCATGATTTTTGTTTCTTATTTTATTTGTGATGAAATATTTGAACCAAGTGGGGGATTGCTAAAATAACTATCATTAATGGTTCAAAATATTCCTGATTAATTTATCATTTTTCAGTTTTTAATTCAACTTTTAAAACTGACCATTTTTAGTTTTAATTTAACATTCAAAATGACCGTTTCTCAGTTTTAATTTAGCTTTTAAAATTAAAATATCAGTTTTTCCCATGATGGGCAGCAATTAATTCCGATTTTTTTAATATTTTGGGTGTCTAAGTCTTTCTCTCTGCCACATCTAAGAAGAAGAAACATAAGTATTATTTTGGAAGAGAAAAGATTTAGAAGAATTCAAAATTAGTAACGAATGCAATCAAATTTCAATGGTCGATGGTATATAAATTTTATTTATGAATTAGTTTTCTCATCTTTTGTTTAGCTGATTCTATATTTCACAAACTTATCTCGAATCAAGCATCTGTTGTTGAATTTGAGAAACTTGTGTAGAATCGACATTAATTTTTCCAACATGTAGAGCTTATCGGCATTCACTTTTAATTTACTGCTTTGTTTTCTATGAATATGTTTAGCAGTTAGGATGTTATGGTATAATATTTATTTGACTGTTTGATTTTGTTAGAACTTATTGTATTTATATCATTCAAGTGCTTTTTCATCTCTAACATTAAAGGTTTAATTATTTGTTTCTTCATTACTACAGGTATTATCGTAACATCACAGCAAATACACTGATCTTGCTTGAAGCTATGGCAACACATGACGTGAAAACACTGATATATTCTAGCACATGTGCAACTTATGGACAGCCTGAGAAGATGCCTATCACAGAAGAAACTCCACAGGTTAGTATGTGATAATATGTGATCTTTTAAATGCTATGCAGCATGCAGAAATGCCTAATGGCCGGTTTGGTTGGGCATTTTACCTATTTTTCAGTAGCTTGTTTGGTAAGAAATATGGCTGGTTTTTGAATAAGTGCTTTTAGAACGATGCCTTAGGCTTCGTTTGAGATGGCTTTCTTCTTGCTTTCTAAAATAACTTTTTAGTACAAAAATTTTTTGAATTTGAAAATTTTGTACTAGAAAGCCATTTTAGAAAGCAGTATGAAAGTTGTCCAAAATAAAGCCTTAAATTGCTTCCTAAAGTAGCTTTTTGACAATAGCTTTTTAACCTCTGCTGCAAAAGAGAAGCCTAACCTAGCGAGTCCTTATCTTTTGAATAAAGTTTAACTCTCTAAATAAATCCTCTTTAAAAATGATACATTTGTTTTCACTTGTCCAAAGCTGATGTGTATGTAGGAAACAAAATTTCATTAAAGCCTAGCGTCCATAAGAACTGAATTAAAAAATGTTAACTCATTTTTTTACTTAATTTTTTTGTTCAGGTACCTATTAACCCTTATGGGAAGGCCAAGAAAATGGCAGAGGATATAATTCTAGACTTCTCTAAGAAATCAAACATGGGTGTTACAATTTTAAGGTACTGCATTTACAACAAACTCATCAATCCTAAGTTGAACTTTTAAAGATGATCATTGATTCCCATTATTCTATCTCTGTCAGATACTTTAATGTGATCGGATCGGATCCGGACGGAATGTTAGGTGAATCTCCAAAACCCGAACTACGGGAACATGGTCGCATATCAGGTGCTTGTTTTGATGCCGCATTAGGAATCATTCCAGGCCTTAAGGTATGCCATCATTTCCATCATCTATTAGCTTAAGAGCTCATATGATTGCTGATAGATCAGGACATGCTTTGAAAAATTATATAACATATTAGAGTTCATCACATGTATACTGAAGAGAAGAACTCATGTTAATTCATTAGGTGAAGGGTACAGACTACGAAACTTCAGATGGAACTTGTGTCAGGGACTATATTGATGTTACTGATCTTGTTGATGCTCATGTTAAGGCCCTCGACAAGGCTGAACCCAACAAAGTTGGCATATACAATGTTGGCACTGGAAAAGGTCATCTATCTACAAATATTTATGATGTTATATTGAATTTCTTCATCTTAAATTTATGTTGTTCCAGTAACACAACATTGAAAGTGAAGAGATGTTGATATGAGTTCTTCTGCATCTATTATTCAGGAAGAACGGTGAAGGAGTTTGTGGAAGCTTGTAAGAAAGCAACTGGTGTTGAAATCCAAGTGGAGTATTTGAATCGCAGGCCCGGCGACTATGCTGAAGTTTACAGTGATCCATCCAGGATTCAAAGGGAGCTGAACTGGACTGCTCAGAATACTGATCTTCTTAAGAGCCTTCAGGTTTCCTGGAACTGGCAGAAGTATCATAGACATGGTTATGGCTCTCCCCTGGCCATTGCGTTTTGAGTGTTATATCATTATATGTGAATGCTCAAGTTATGTGTGCCAGTATATGCTTGCTGCCTTGCTGGTATTAGCATCTTTTTCTTCTAAGGTTTTTTTTTTTTTTAATGGAATGTGGAAGATTTTAATATTCTTATTTAAGCAATTACTATTGTTTTACTTACTAGTTACCCTTTATTTTATGTATCGTAAAGATATTTTTTGTAATCTTGTTTGTAATTAAAAACTAGTGTTATTAAGTTTGTAGATCAACTAATTCCAAGAATTACGAGGGACGCATGATGAGAAGATAGATGTACTAAATGCTGTTGTAACTTGTAAGAGACATGCTAATGATTAATGCTATAAGCTGCATGGATGCCCTCCCAGGTACAAACTAAGGAGAAATTATTATGTGTGATCATCTGACGGTCCAGAGATAAATCAGGATGTGTCATGTCATTTTTTTTATTGTGTATCGGTGTTGTTTACCGGATAATGTAGCATATCTTGATTCGCCTTTGAACGTCGTCCGGTGACTGTATAGAATAATTTTTCCAACATGTCCATTTGAATTCCATCTACAGTAGATAGGCAAAAATGCAGCAAAGAAAGATGAAAGGGTTCTTTCATAGTTTAGAGCATAACTAGTATGAAAAATTAATGGTAATATTATCCGTTCTTCACTTGCCACTAGAAAAACACACAATCAGATGCAAGTGGATCTATTAGATTAAGGCTTCGTTTGAGATAATTTTCTTACTATTTTATGAAGCAACAATAAAAACAAATGCAAGTGGATCAATACATGTGTTTATACCGCAATTTATCCTAACAAGATGTAACATTTGATGTCCATAAATTAAACCTGTTCATGGATCACCCAAAGACAACACACCTCAATGCCATTCATCACCTTCTTCATTATTTGAAGGTTGGTCAAGAATGAGAGTGAACTTTTCGATCCTATTTAGGCTTCATTTGGGACGGTTTTTTTACTGCTGCTTAAAGTAGTTTTCTAGTATAATCATTTTAAGAAGCAGCCAAACGAAGCCTTAATCATCAATTTAAAGCTTTTTTATGCATATTGGGGGATCATACCTTGATACAAGAAGGATTGTTGCAAAGTTTTGCATCTTTCTAGGGGTATTTTTGATTTCTTGGAATGCAAAGAAACAACTTAAGATCTTCTGTTGAAGCTGAGTGCCATGTGTTAGCCATAACTTCTAATGAACAAATATGGCTAATCCAACTGTTGAAGGATCTCTTCTCTTCATGTTTTACTGTAATAGGTTGTAAGGAAGAAATCTAGAGGGAGGGAGCATTAGATGAGAGAAGAAGGGGAAGTGCAACACCCTAGTATTAACTCTTAAGTTTTGAGTGAAGGTGGCTATTAATTAAGCAGAGTCGCATAATTTGCAAACTGATTAGGACAAAGGTGGCTGGGAGCAAATCGCATGAAGAAGCGGGTTCAACTTAGAAGAGATTATTCTGTGCAGACGCCGAACACAATTTATCATTCTGAGACCAATCAGAATGCGTCATGTCAGTGGTATCGAGCGGTACTGAGCAGTACCGAGCCGGGTACCGAACAAGTGGTGATGTGGCGCATTCTTGTTTGTCTCCAAATGATGTTCGACGTCTGCACAAAATAATTTCACTCAACTTAGTTACTTCATGTGAAATGAAGGGTGCCTGGTTGAATACAGTGTGAATCCTATAAAACTGCAAGGCAGCTCTAAAAAAAAAAGTTCATGAACCAGTTCAATGTCCTTGTTTATTATAATTTACAACAATAATTTTTGGAGGGAATACTTTTTCTCAATTTTAGCAGAGTTAGAAGAGGCATTAAATCTCTTGAAGTATCTTTATAATGTCCTTTTGAGTAAATAAAGTAGATTGATATTTATTTTGTAATTATTTTAATATTTCAATTTTCAATTTCTTTTAACTACAATATATATAATATAAAATAATTTCTCCATATAAGGAGACATGGGAGCTAGAATTTGCATTAATGATTATTAATTTGAGTAATTGAATTACTTATTTTTTCCTCTCCTCTAACCTAATTACCGGGTTGGCTGCCTTATCTTTAATGCTCTCTCTCTCTCATCTTTTTTTTCCCTCATTAAACTTATGCCAAATTTCTTGAAGAATTAGCAGTGGCAGAGCCAAAAATTTTATTTAGGAGGAGGGGGCCTAAATTAAAATAATTTTGTTTGCTATCTTGTTACTATGGGATCTCGGTTTGGAGGCAAGAGAGGAGCAAAAGATATTTAAATGAATTTTACTCAACATTCTTTAAAATATTTTTATTTCATCCAATTTAAGTGAGTTTCAATTTCAGCTAAATTTTACACGAGATTTTTTAAAATAAAATTTCAAATATAATGAGATTTTAATAAAATATAGAAAAAAAGGAAATGTATTGATTGCATAGCATAAATCTGAATAAAAATAGAGCTTAATGATATCAGAAATCAACGATCTTTAGCTCGTTGGATTCGTCTCGTCGAGCCGCTCAATTCGACTATAAGCAAATAAATTTTGGAAACCGTTTGATCATCCAAATTATGTTTTGAACCTTCCAAATGTGCTTCGGGCCCTTGATTTGGACTCATTTGGGCTCGGACTGAGTCGAGTTTGGTGTTGTTGGGTTCATATTTTCGAGAGGTATAATTCGACAATAAGTTTATTGAAATCGGAGTTCAGATGGTCTCCGATTTAATTTTTGAAGTTTCCAAATTGATTTTTTCTCGAAAAATGTGCAGGTGAACCTTTGCTCTTCCTTCGGTGGTGGTGATTGGTTGAAGACATATTTGGTTGAAGATAGATATAATTGTATTTTTTTAGGGGGGGCACGTGCGCCCCTGGCCCCCCTCCCTCCGCCACTGAGAATTAGTATATTATGACATTTTTTTTTGTAAAAATTTAAAGAACTTCAATTCTCCATGTATTTAGGGAATGCATTATGTAAATTAAATTCATTAATAAAGATTTGTAAAATGTCATAAAAATACCATTTATACTATTTACTTTGAGGGCTTTCACTACATTTCAACTAATATTGGGTATCAAATATATTGAAAACTTTAAAGACGTAGAATTTTCACTATATTTATGTAACGACACAAGACCTAAATTTAGAATAATTATTTATTTCATCTATTAATTAATCTATCAGAGCTTCTAATGATACATTAATATAAACGAATCAAGTAGAAAAAAATTATAAATCATATACATCAAAATATTTTTACATTTATTCTTCAAAATTCAATTTATAATTACTAGAAAACTAATCATTATATTCATTAGGCTATCTTTCAATACTCCTAACTACAAAAGAATAAAATTAAAATGCAGAAAACAAAATGAACTTGAATTCAGATTTGCCTTACTCCACTGGGTTCAGAGCCGTTCATAAAAAATATGTAAAAGCAACGAAGTGAACTAATAGCTTAGTAGGTTATCAGAACTTACAATTATAATTAATGCACGATAATAAAAATAATATGCATATAATCATTTAGTTCAAAGCAGCATAAGCATGTAACTGTAAAAGCATATAGCAACCATTATAAGTAATATCATTTCATATAAATAGTAGAAATAATTAAAAGCAGCATAATTCAAATTCAGCGATCAGTGGTCATATAAATGATTAATACGTTACAATTATTTACTAAGTTTAAAATGCTAAAAAATAGAAAAAAAGTAATCATTGCTCAATTTCATTAATGAATAACAAAATATTTTTCTTCAAATAGTATTGATTATAGAAGAGACAATTATTGTAGATTAAGTTAACTTTTTTTAATATATAGCACTAATTAAAACTATTGCGAACTAATAAGATTTGCATTAATTTTTAAATTCTTAAATTAACGAGTCTTAAGGTTTCCATTTTAGTAGAGTGATTTTAAAATAATTTGATAATTAGACGATCTTGCTAAAAAAAATTTATAACACAATCTTCTCACACACATCATTTGAAATGAAAGTTAAAAAATATGAGAAAAATTAAAGAAAAAATAAATATAAAGAAAATTAGTTTTCTTAAAAATAAAAACAAATAAGAGGTTATTATTACTATTAAGTTACTATTTATTTGTAAAAATTATTTTCAGGGTTTAAGCCTTTAGGGGGGATTTTAAGTTAATATATGAATTTATAATATGAAAGATGTTTTAGAGGGTAAAATATGTAAAGTTTAGGTATGAATATGCAAAATCTCTCATTCAAATATGAAATACCAGAAAGTTTAAGAACTTAGCGGGAGGCAGCGACCGCCCATTTCGCTTGAACATAAATTTATAAAAAAAAAAAAAAAAAAAAAAATTGCATGTGAGGTTTATCATAAAATTTAAAAAAAAAAAAAAAAAAAAGTCAAGACACTTCCATATAATTAATGGCATCATCCACGCTCAAATCCGCCGGCGAGATCCAAAATCTCATCTTTTCCCAAAACCGCAAGCTCACTCACCTCGCTCGTTGCGGCCGCATCGACGAAGCCGTCAAGCTCTTCGAATCCATGCCCGCCCGCAATGCCGTGTCCTGGAACTGCATGATCTCCGGCTTCGCCAAAAACGGCCGAGTGGCCGACGCGCGCCACCTCTTCGATCGCATGGCCTCCAAAAACTTAATCTCATGGAATACCATGATCGCTGGCTACTCCCACAACAATCACGTCCTCGAAGCCTCCCAGCTGTTTGAGGAAATGCCCAAAAGGGATAGTTACTCCTGGACTCTAATGATCTCTTGCTACTCCCGCAATGGGGAGCTGGAGAGAGCAAGGTGGCTCTTTGATTCCATGCCTGGAGTAAAGAATCCAGTTTGCTACAATGCCATGATAGCTGGATATGCCAAGAATGGGATGTTTCAAGATGCCATTGTTTTGTTGACTGAGATGCCGGTGTCAGCTCGTAACATGGTTTCGTGGAACTCAGTGCTCGCGGGATATACACAAAACCAAGAGATGGAACAAGGTTTGAAGTTTTTTGGAGAGATGCAGGAGAAAGATGTGGTTTCTTGGAACTTGATGGTTGAGGGATTTCTTCAAGTTGGCGATCTGGAATCAGCTTGGAGTTTCTTTAGGGCAACTCCATGCCCAAATGTCACGTCTTGGGTCACCATGTTAAATGGATTTTCGAAGAGTGGGAATATTGATGAAGCCAGGAGGTTGTTTGATGAGATGCCAGAAAGGAATTTGGTCGCCTGGAATGCAATGATCTCGGGATATGTACAGTTCTCGCAAGTAGAAGAGGCTTATAGGCTTTTCGGTAAAATGTCGGAGAGGAATTCTGTGACTTGGACTACAATGATTAATGGGTATATTCGAATTGGGAAGCTTGAGAAAGCTAGGGAGTTGCTTGATTCAATGCCCTTCAAGAATGTTGCAGCACAAACTGCAATGCTAACTGGGTATGTTCAGTGCATGAAAATGCAAGAAGCTGTTGAACTCTTTGAGAAAATTAGTACAAAAGATGATTTCTGCTGGAATGCAATGATCTCTGGATATGCTCACTGTGGAAGAATGGATAAAGCAGTGGAATTATATAAGAGAATGCCAACAAAGAGTTTGTTTTCCTTGAATACTATGATCGCTGGGCATGCTCAACAAGGCGAGATGCAGAAAGCCCTGGAGGTTTTCAAGCAGATGAAAGAGAGGAACACAGTAACTTGGAATTCCATTATCTCTGGCCTCACCCAAAATGGATTTTACTGTGATACAATTAAGCACTTTGTGTTGTTGAGAAATGAGGGAAGGAAACCAGATCCGTGCACGTATGCCTGTGGTCTCGCTGCTTGTGCTTATCTTGCTGCTTTGCAAGTGGGGAAGCAACTTCACCTTCTTCTTGTGAAAAGTGGTCATGCTAATGACTTATTTGCTGGCAATGCTCTGATAAATATGTATGCAAGATGTGGAAGGATTTCAAGTGCCAAGCAGGCCTTTGATGAGATGGCTTCTGTAGATCTCATTTCATGGAACACATTGATTACTGGCTATGCGCTGTATGGCTTCGGTAGGGAGACAATATCACTTTTCAAAGAGATGGAAGTTAACGGATTTAGACCTGATGATATCACTTTTGTTGTTGTTCTATCTGCCTGCAGTCATGCAGGGCTAATTGATGAAGGACTAAAATATTTTGATTCCATGAGCAGAGACCATTCTGTCGAACCTGTGGCTGAACACTATGCTTGTGTGGTGGACTTGCTTGGCAGGGCTGGGAGATTAGAAGAAGCATATAAACTAGTTACAGAAATGCCCATCAAAGTAAATGCTGGTGTTTGGGGTGCATTGCTTGGAGCTTGTAGGATGCATGGGAACCCAGATATCGCAAAGTTTGCCGCAGAGAAACTATTTGTGATAGAACCTCAAAAGACCTCCAATTATGTTCTATTGTCAAACATAAATGCTGATGCTGGGAGATGGGAAGACGTGGACAGGGTGAGGAGTTTACTGAAAGAAACAGGAATACAGAAGCAGCCTGGTTGCAGCTGGATTGATATAAATAACAAAGTATGTTCCTTTGTTTCTGATGATCCTATGCAGCCCAGAACAACTGAAGTCGGATTTGTCCTTGAGATGCTGTGTGCCCATATTAGAAATACAGAAATCATGCCTTGGTCATCTTTGTTAGACTGTGGATAATTACTTCAGAGAGCTTTTCTGCTGAATCTGAAGCTCTTTTCACATAAACCTTCATGCTGCATAGGATGCGTGAGAAAATAGAACTGATAGATAGAATGCTCAAGTCATGTTAATATTTGACTGCATGTTTATTTCACATGTTTTCTCAAATTATTAGCATTAAGAATTGCATTTGTCCCTCAGCAAAGCAGTCACTTTGTCAGTCTCAGAAGTTACAGCACTTTGCCTCAATGGGTGAGTAAAGATTTTGCAACTTGAGGAATCAAAACTGCACGCCTCTATTCATGCCTTCTGACTGCTAAAAGCACTTTAAAAGGTAACATATCTTCTTCAGATTAAAGACGTTGGAGAACCCACCAAATTTTGCGATCATGTAAATAAGTGTTCAACTGAGGTTTTGTTTGGGATAACTTTCTTACTGCTTCTGAAAGCAGCTTTCTAGTATAAAAATTAAAATTTTTATACTAGAAAGTTGCTTTCAGAAGCAGTAAGAAAGCCATCCCAAAGGACGAAGCTTGATTGATACTCTTGATGTCAATATAGTAATTTATATATAGTTTTCGTTTGTCAATGCAGCATTTTCTGTTGGCATAATACACAAATTAATGGATTGTAGTACATTTTTCAGTTGTAATAATTGTTGATTGAATATTGTAGGAGAGCAGCAAAAATTTATATAGTTTACCTGTTTTAGTAGAGTGGAAGCTCGCAAATCTGCATTCATAATGCTTTAAGAATCTTTCAAAATTATAAGTATTATGATTAATGTTTTATGGCCATTGGAACCTCAAATATTTGCTAGCCATTGATACTCAAGTAGGTGGTTCATCTTTCTATATATCTAAGTTAACCGTTGTATTATCTGTGGTCTTCATATCAATGAAAAGAGCAAGTTTTCTTGTCAGTTTGTCTGAAATAATTGTATGGGACAATAGTTTGGATAAAATCATTTTTATACCTTGAACACATAACCTTAAAAGGAAAATTCCAATCACTAGTGGCATGTGTAGCACCTCCTAGTTACTAATCTGGACTGTAAATTACATTTTTCCTAGAACCGACGATCATAAGATCGTCTTCTTCCTCAAGATTAAGCTGTAGTTCCTACAAACACTGAAGGAGTTTTTCCCTCGTTTCTACACCAATACAACCAATCAGTAAGTCAAAATCGCTTTACTCAAATAGCTCTACATGAGATACCCTTAGATTCTAAGTTTGTGAAATGTGTGCTGTTGGCAATTACCACAGAAAAAGAACATAGTGTTTTAGCTGATTACCTTGAGGTCCACCCTGAGCAGATACTGCCTAGCTTGTTCTCCTTACTACCACCATCCATGATTGCGGTAGGGAAAGTGTAGAGAGCTGTTGGAAAGTGATGGGAAGAGCTAGGATAAAAAAGGAATATGTCACAGTGCCCAGAAGAAATAACCAATGCACTAAGAATAGTACTTACAAATTGGACTCGCTACATTATCACGCCAAACAATTCCTATAACGATGCCAACGCCCTCTCTGATCTCCAACACTCTTAGCTTAATATTTACAGCACCTTGATCTCCAACAATCCCTATTTATATATATTTCAATCTTACATGAAATATTAAGCTAAGAGGGTTGTCATGGAAGTCTCCAAAAATGGCTTAAGAAACTCTAGAAGAAAGATCCTTCTTATATCCAACACACATATTAAAGAGGAAGCCATCTCTCATATGTATCTTGAGGTAAATCTCATCATCCATATTTCCTAGAGATCTTATGATCAAAACCTAAGGCTATCAGATGGATCGAGTAACCGTTGACATGATTCCTAAGAAGAATACTTTGGGAAATCCCACACAACATCGATCCATAAATAAATATGATTAATTATTATTGTAATATATCAACTATTTGATTTTTCCTCCTCAATGTGACATATTAGTAGAATTCAAGTTGGATGGATGAAGTGGAGGAATGCATCAAGCTTGTTGTGTGATAGGAAAGTACCACTCAAATTTGAGGGAAAATTCTATAAAATGGTGATTAAACATGCAATGCTTTATGGCGCAGAATGTTGGCCATTAAAAGAGAAGCATAATATTAAGTTACGTGTTGCAGAGATGAGGATGCTCAGGTGGATGAGTGACTTTACTCTTAGAGACAGGATATGAAATAAGCATATACGCGAAAAGGTGGGAGTAGCTCTAGTGGTAGATAAGATTAGAGAGAGCCGCCTTAGATGGTTTGGTCACATAAAATGGCGGCCTTCCGATGACCCAGTTAGGAGAGTAGATGTATTAGATTTAATCTATGTTAATAAAGGTAGAGGTAGACCTAAAAAGACTTTGTTAGAAAATATTAGAGATGACATTTTCTTTCAACAACAACAACAACATCAAGCCTTTATCCCACTACGTGGGGTCGGCTACATGAATCATTTTTCTCCATTGTGTCCTATTAAAAGTCAAATTCTCGTTTAAATCTAATAAAGAAAGGTTATTCCTAATATTTTCTAACCAAGTCTTTTTAGGTCTACCCCTACCTTTCTTAACAAAAGTCAAATCTAATACCTCTACTCTCCTAACCGGGTCATCGCAAGGCCGCCGTTTTATGTGACCAGACCATCTAAGGCGACTTTCTCTAATTTTATCTTCTACTGGAGCTACTCCAACCTTTTCACGTATATGCTCATTTCGTATCCTATCTCTAAGGGTAAAGATGACATTTTCTTTATTAGATCTAAATGAGAATTTGACTCTCAATTGGACACAATGGAGAAAGATTATTCATGTAGCCGACCCCATGCAGTGGGATAAAGGCTTGATGTTGTTGTTGTTGTAATGTGCCATATCTGAACCATCTTATCTTATCACTACTTAGGCTTCATTTAGGACAGCTTTTTTACTGCTTTTTGAAGTAGCTTTTTAGTATAAAAATGTCTTGATCTAAATTTTTAACTAGAAAGCTGTTTTAGAAAGCATTAAGAAAACCACCCCAAACAAAGCTTTGATTATGGGTATTCTATGGAGCTTAATATCAATTCATATTGACCATATATTATTATAATAAAAATACTTAAATTTTTATTAAAAAACATAATAAAATAATAGTCCATTTTTTATTTATGAAGTGTCATCTCTCAATAATCCTCCCACGGTCCCATTTGATTATGGGTCATAATATTAGACTCTTGAACTCACCACAATCATTGGACTACAATTAACTAAATGATTGTGAAAGATTGTTTCCAACATGCACTATGGCTGGCAATGGCTAAGGAAGCCTACATGCAATCATTACATCATTACATGAGCTTATATTTTAACAACTATTGCAACCAAGTGTTTTTTTACAATCTTGCATGGTTGTGACTCGTTGTCTCTACCTGAAGTGATTAATCGACCATCAAATGCTATTCTAGTTAATTAATGGCTAATTTTGCATGATTAGAAGATTATTAAAGACTACTTTGATTGATCAACTAATCAAAGGTACATAAAATTTGGTTAGTTGATAAACTAATATGGAGATGTTAATCAAATAATGATCGTTAATGATAATCCGCTCTTACTTTAGCATAATTACTAGTTATATAGGTTCATGTTATGTGTGGAATCTCATTTGTGTTGATTAATTTGGTTATTATGTTGTCTCGGACTTCAGAGTTTGTCTTGTACGCTGGAGGGTGCGTACAACGCCCCGACTTTGTGTTTCTGAGTGCCCCGACGCTAAACGATAGAGAGCATAGCGCCGCAGCCGCATAGATACAGTGCTGCAACGAATCAAGACAAAGGTTCAAGTATCACAGCGCTTCAAATTGGCGTCGCAGCACTGCAAGATGGATTGGATGGTTTTCTTTCTCGTTTTTCTAAAGGGTTGCGTCCCTTGGCTTTCTCTTGTAGTTTGGTGTGTGAGAGATTGAGAATGGTGCATGTGAGAAGAGAATAAAGGAGAGAGTGAGAGAGAAGAGAGATTTCTTATTTCTCTCAATTTTCATAGTGGATTTCTTGGTGTGGTGTGGCTCCATGGTTTTTCCCTATTTTGAATTTATTCACGTTAAATCCTGGTGTCCTTTATTTTCGCTGCTTTTACTTTCTTGTTTGTTTCGTCATTGTGACGTTTACTTCTCATCTCCCCAACAATTAAAATGTTTTAAAACTAGTTTCATGCATACTTGACCATCTGCACTTGCTCTCACTTGTTCACTAGTAAAACTAGTTCCAAGGAAATGTGATGCATGGCTTGAATGAAGCCTTGTCATTCAAGACCTTGAGATCTTATAGAGATGGTTGATGATGTGAAACTGATGAGGCCAAGTTAGTTGCGATGAGATTTGATTAGGTGGTTGTTTGGCAATATATTTTAAAATATTAAATAAGAAAATCATTACAATGATTAAGTGTTGAAAATATAATGATGATTGAAAAAATAATAATGATAAAGATAACTTAATGCCTTAAGATAATAGACAAATTCAATATATAAAAAAAATAGTTTGAATATAACTTATTTGAGATAGATTTGTTTATGGAAAATTCACTTGGCATTGCCACTTGAAACAATTTTATAAGGGTGAGTGGCAAATTATAAAATATATAATTACTAAAAAAGGCTTTAGTTTAATGTAATATAATTAAACTATGATAGGCATTTTTTATGGTGGGAGGAGGGAACTCTTGAGGTGTTCAAGTTGTCATCAAATAATGATTATCAACTGAGTCAACTAATAGTTGAAGACTGGCGTCAAAAGTTGGGCGATTGAGGGCAATTAGTTTAGTCATTTTCTTGATAAAATAGATAATTAGGTAATTAAGAGGACAAGTCTTGAACATTGATGGATGTTCATTGTTAGATGTTAGTCATTGACAAGTGTCAGATGACATACAAACTAGAAAATCAAAGATAAATATTATTGATGATCAACTTGGTCGTTTTTCTAATAGTAGGGGAACCAATTGAAGAAATGAGAGGTATATATTCCATTAAAGTGAATTTTATAATGTTTATCTTGTTTGATATTTCGAGGACAACATTTTTCAAAAGTAGAAAGAAGGCAACAATCACAAGATCCTCATGCATATGCATCATCTGTATGAATATATGTGTTTAATTTATATGTTAAAGTTAAATTGAAAATTTCTTTCATGTATAATAATTTGGCTAGGAGCCTTGCGACCCTATACTTACAAGCGCAGCGACGTTGACCTCTCTATATTATGTAACTCTAGCTATGAGAGCATAATAATGCTAAGAGTTACATTGCGGTGCCACCTCATCCTATTTGTATAGCAACTTTGATGGAGTGTCGCAACACTGGCATCTCGAGCACTACATTATTGGGTCAGAAAATGTATTTTTTAATATCTAAATCCACTCATGCATTTAAATAATACTCAAGCCCCCCATTTGTATGCTTAGGAGAGGAGGGGAGAAAGAAAGAGAGGTTTAGGCAAGTACTTTTCGTCGCTCAAGTTATGAAAATTATTATGATCTTTGTAGGTGATCTTAATCATATCTCTGTTTTTAATAATTTTGATTCTTATTTATTTTCATTTCTCTTGAAACTAATAAAAATATCGTATCTCATAATATAATGAACTTTCACATTGTAGCTTTTTGTACGTTATGGATATGATTGTTCTGCTTATTTTGATATGATCATCTTGTATTATCATTAGTTAGTTTGAAAAATATTTCATTTCATCAATAATTATATAGA